TGCTTTTAGTCTGAAGTGATGTCTCAATTGTCTAAAGTGAATTACTTGTAGGTTTGTTGTCATGAACTTGGTTAATGGTTAACATAGACAAAACTATTGTGATTAGATAAATGATAAAACAGGAAAATGAAATTGTGTTTATGTTTACCCCAAATTGTTTGCTCAGCTTTTCTTAATGGTTTTTATTTATGCCCCAAATCTGTAAACTGATTGCAAGTTTCAGATTGAAGCGTCGAAATGATAATAAAAAATTTACATGTCTTTTAGGAGGCTTTATTTTTTGCGGTAGATGTAGTATTTGTTATCACCATTGAGTGACCAATTTATATACGTGTTCATAGTCTAGTCAATTTGTTATATTTTTTACTAATATACTATGATTGTCTTTAAGTTTTCAAATGTATATAAAATCCTATTAGCTCAAAATGGTAGAGCAATGTGCTTTTGCACATAGATGTAGGTTCAATTCCTACATAGGCTAAAATAATTGTAAGTTTCTAAGTTTCCCGCCAAAAAATAGGGAAAAATAGAACCCAAATAGGTGGGACATTAAAATGTGTAAATTAACAGTGGTCCTATCCAACCGTTGTAAAATAACACCCCTTCTATAACAGCGGTTTCATAGACAGCGGGTTATCAACCACTATTAAGTGTTACTTTTAATCGCTGTTAAATGATATATTTGTAGTAGTGAAGGTTACACACTCCATTCATAATCCATGAGAATACTACCTCCATATGGCCCGGGACCACAAAAGGAGGATCGGGGATGATGGTATGAAGTGAGTCACGGAGACACTTCACCCGTATTGGCTTCTACTCGATTCTTATAGTGAAAAGTATTTCTTGCGATCTCAAAGGCATACAAAAAAGATTCAATTTGCTCTTGACTAAATTAAGCTAAATGGTTGAATATTAATGCACACATAATTCTATATATTAGTGATCACTTGATTAAACAACAAGATTAAAAAGGAACCTAAATCGGTCGTCCAAATTATCTTATTAGTCGTGATTTTCAATTATATATTCCCTTTAAAACATGCAATATGGAGATCAATCAATACAATAGAACAACATTAATATTGGAAGCAATTTAACCATAATATGTTGTCAAATCATCAAAAATACAATAATAAACCTAAACATAATACTAGCAATATAAAAAAAGAATAAGAGTAATTAAGTAAATAAATTACTCACATCGCACTTCTTTAAATTGCTACTTCGTGAATAAATTGTTAGTAACTTCAAAGAATAATAAATCAAATTGTAATAAATTAAATAATAATTAGATTACAATTGATTTGGTCTAAACCCTCAATCGATTCTACCTTTCACACCTTGGTTTAAGTACGAAACTTCGGGTATTTTATGGATTTCTTGGAGTGCTTAAGGGAGGAATAATGAAAGAATAATAATTGTTTAATGTGAGGGAAATAAGAGAGAGTTGATGTTGCTGCCCCGAAACTCGTAAATGAGCTTCGTATTTATAGAGGAAGTGTGAGGGATGCAGTCCGGAACCCAAAAAAACGAGAGACGCTGAAGAAAAAGGTATTGTGTTACGGTACTAGTAACGGTACTTGTACCGTGGCATGGTACCAAATTCTATCGTTTCTGGAAAATAAAGCGCGTTAAGAAAAGAATCAGGGAAAATCTTAGTGCCGTGTCACGACACTGGTACCGTGGCACAACACTTAGTACCGTGGCGTGGTACTTTCCAGTTTTTATGCGTTTTTAAAACTTTCATAACTTTTGATCCGTATCTCGAAAAAGGCATATAATATATTGTTGGAAAGATCTTTAAGTCTACTTTCCAACCCAATTAGAATCAGGTCAAAAGATTTTTTATATTTTAAGGTATGACCGTTTTAGTGTAAGGGTGTCGGTTTTGGGCCGAGTTTTAGTGTTTTGCTCATATCTTCTTTGTTTTAAATCGGAATTGGGCTTATGATATATCATTGAAAGCTTATTTCAAGGCCTATCCAACCAAATAATATTTGGATCAAAATTATGGGGCTATGAAATCATTTTTGTTCGGCTTTGTGATGTGGACACGAAAAGAGGAAAATAAGCTATGGTTTGGGGGAAATGAGGTAGGAATTGGATTGGTTTAGATGAAATAAATGAAATGTTGGGCTAAGGCTATGTTTTTAAGCACTTTGCATATTCAATACGCAACTCGACCAATGATGGCGGTGAAAGGTAGTTGTTCATCATCGTGTTTGGTTATGGGGAGACATTTTTAGGTGTCTATAATATGCATATGTTAGAATTAGCTTTTACAAACTTAGCAAAAGGTAGTTTATTTGATCAACTTTATGATAGATAAGTCATTTCCCCTAAATTTCATGCAATAGTTCTCTCTAAAAAAAATTAACATAGTACTAAAACAATGTTTAGGCTCGATGTTTTTCTCTCAACCAAACATTCACATTATTAGAGCTGAGAATTGAGTTAGTCAAACTTTTCTTGACCAAACAAGCTGTAACACCTCAATAATTCTCCCCTTTTCAAACCAATTATTTTAAATAAAATAGAGGAGAACTATTGACATGTTACCGCCACGTGTTAAAACGTTAAGGCTTTATTAGAATATTGCAGCGAAAAATCCAAACTTAAATCTTAAAATAACATGTTAAAGAAAACAATTAGTCAAAGCTTACAAATTGGAACCATAAAAGGCCCTTATTTAAAACCAAACCAATATTCAAAACCCAATTCATAAACGAAATAGCAAAACATAAATAAGTTCATCACAAGAAACGAATACTCTCAATTACACCAATATTTTGACAATGCGTTTGCCAAATCCCTGAACTTCACATCATCAAACTAACCTATGCAATACTGCTCTGCAATAATACAGGTGTAATAATTGGATTATCACAGGGTCTTTGAAAGATGAAGGCAATGACCAGAAGGAAACACACATACACACAAAAACACGCAATCAACAAAGCTGAGTACATACAAGCCACAACACACCAAACCTAGCATGCTCAGCTAATTAAAGAAGGTAAACACACAACATAAATTCATTAAAGACTTCACACTTAATAAATAGCTCAATCAACTCGACGTACTCAATAACCAATCCCAATCACTTGACTTTTTATGTTTAATTTAATTTGGAGTAAGAAATAGACAAGGTTGTACAATCCACCAAATCATTTTGGTCCCAAATAACCATTTAAAATAAAAAATAGCGCGACTGCTAGAATGGGCGCAATTTCATTCTCACAAAGTTAGGCTATGATCCCATTTAACTCTCATTATAAAATAAAAATGTAAATACCAAAAGAAAAGAGGACATGTTGATCAAACAAGCCTTGGAAAGTCACGGGCTACCACCTTGTACCCTAACCCATAATTGTCAATACTCTAAAAGTGCACATTTTCCAGAGTTTTATTGATTATCCATGTTTCATTTTACGTGGTTATAAGTTTAATTAATAGCCAAACTCATTCAATTAAACCATACACCATCATACATAGAAATTCACTTTTAATCTTATTTAGGTCAGCAATGATCACGCATCATAAATTGACCTTTAATTCCTATTAAATTTCAAAATATCCAAAATTGTTGAACATAGTCAACCCACCTAACTATTTTGGCTTAATCCACTTTTACTTAACATACTAACAAGTCATGCTTGATTAATAATAAAAATAATAATAACGTCATGGAATAATTAATAAATTCATTCCACTTAAACCATTCAATTCCAATCCTTCAATAATCCAAATGTGGTTATTATCAAACCAATCCAATAAATATATGCTTGTATAAGTATTCCATACAAACAATTAATCCAATTTAACATGCTTGCATTCATAATTCCATACAAACATAATCAATTCACCAAAACATGTCTCATAAACATAAGTACATATATGCATTAATGCAATGTTTAACCAAACAATTTTCATTCAAGTGTTCGTTAAACATAAAACTAAGTTCTTTTCACTTGGTATCTAAATATGATACTACTTACAACGAAGTAGACATGTATGTACGTCGTGTAAACAATTATTTGTGTCACTTTTAATCACTCAAAAGTCTCCTAGAGAATAATCACCTCCTAGAAAACAACCAACAATTAAATATTAATATCCAAACTAATTTCCAGTAATATAATTTCATTTGTAAAATATATATACAAATAAATATTATAAACATACTTGACGTCGGCCACCAATTTCCAGCAACAATCAAGTGTTTTTTGATACGTCCAAAATAGGTTGGTCATAGTGGCATGCCGACGTTAGGTTTGTTTATTTCCAACAATATATCCAAACTAATTTCAAGCAGTATAAATACAAATAAATATTATATATAAAATAAAATTTCATTTATAAAATATTTAAAAATACGAGGGTTGGGGGATTACACAAGCAAACACTCCTTAAGTATCACTTATGAGAACCTTTGATCTTGTAAGTTATACATCTTCAATCACTATGTGTATTTCTTATTTGACTTGTCTATTTGTTTGTTTTGAAGCTCAATCAAACTGTATGATAATTAGATTTGATCAAGCTTAGGTCACGTTCTTTTGGACTGAAATTTATCGACGAATTATAACGTCTTGAATTGAAAAGATATACTGATAAGTATTATGGATTTGCATTAATGTCCTTATCTAAAAACAACCTTGAATCATTTCGTGATCGCTTTGTGTTCAGTTTTTTTTTTCCAGAAAGCCAAAATAGAAATCACAAATAAATTATTGGGCCACGTGTCACTATGACTAACCTGTTTTGGACTATCCCATGAATTTCAGCATAACCATAATGAAATCACAAATAAACCTTAACCCAACCTCAGTCCAAACCCAACCCATGATCACAAAACCACAAATGACACCACCAGTCCACCACTACAACCTATAACCAAAACTATTTGCTCGAACCCACCAACTTAAATGGGCCAACAAAACAACACAATTTGAGCCCATAAGCCCATCCAATTGCAACCCTACTATTACTACCCTCATTTAAACCCTACCTCCTTTCCAAACCCTAGAAATTCCCCTTACTTCATCTCTCTCTCTCTCCTCACATCTTCTGCCGCTCTCTCTCTCTCTTTCCTCGCCGAACCTCTGCAACCATGGTACAAGCTTCATCTTCTTCCTCTCTCCTCTTTTTCGAATTCAATCTTCTGTAAATCATTTTCTGTAACTCTGTTTTCGATTGATTGATTGATTTCAGGCGGATGTTGAAGATGTCGCAGCAGCAGGAGCAGTAGCCGCACCAAAGAAGAGAACATTCAGGAAGTTCAGTTACCGTGGAATCGACCTTGATGCTTTGCTTGACCTCTCTACTGATGAACTCGTCAAGCATTTCCCTGCTCGTATTCGCAGAAGGTTTTTCTGATTTTTTTTTCATTTTTTGAATAATTTGATCGATTTTTTTTAGGAGATTTTGGAAATGAAATTGGGTTTTGATTGTGATAAAATTGAATTGATTGTTAGGCTTGGAAGAGGTTTGAAGCGCAAGCCTATGGCTCTCATCAAGAAGCTCCGAAAAGCGGTATACCTTCTTTTCTCTGTATATGTTATGATTTGTGGATTTTTTTTTTATATTTATTAGAATTATGTTTTTATTTATGTAAAAATTGGTTGCTACAAATTGTGATTCATGTGCGGTTGGATTGTGTCTGATTGCTTTTGGATTGTATCAATTAGGCTGTTGTAATTTTGATTTTGTTCGATATTTTTTACAATTCTTCCAATCTTAAGAGTATAAATGGTGATTAGATTGAATGACATACCTTCTATATTGGATCTATAGTTTATTGATGTTGTAAAATTGTATTGTATATATATATATGATATGAATGCCAGACATTTGTATAGCTTTGATTGGAGTATACATGGAAAACTGATCTGATTAAGTGCAACGGATACTATAATATAGGAATTACTGATTGGTAATGTAAAGTTGTCATTTTGACTCAATTTTGAGCCTCGAGTCTTAATGATATAGGTATATGATAATTGGAGTGGCCAATAGTTCCTTATGAATGTGCTTGTTTGATGTTTTAGTTCGTTCGTAATCTTAAGCCAAGAGTATAATGATAAATCGAATCCTTAACAAGCAGTGCCACTGTGATGTAATTGAGAACAGAATTTTTGGATGAAGTGTAGCCTAACTTTTTTATCTGTCTGTGTTGCTTCTATTGGTGAATGCGATTGCTGATGGTTCTTAGTTTTTTAATTTGCTATTGTTATTGGATTGAACACTCTTTTGTTGTTCCAGTGGCAAGTGTTTTGTTTATTTTCTTTAATTTTACTCATGGTATCATGATAAGTTATCAGCTTGTTTGAACCTCCAAATGTATCGAGTGATACTTGTTTCAACCTCTGAATGCATTTCGAAGCTATTATGAAATCTTGCTGTTAATTGTGGTAAAGTAGTATAATCCTCTGTTTTGAAGAGACCTCTTACTTTGCTACCTCATTTCTAGTAGTGTAATTTGTATCTGTTGCAGGCCTGCATCTTATTTTTAATTTGAGGAAATTAACATTCATGGTTTTTGTAACAGAAACGTGAGGCACCACCTGGCGAGAAGCCCGAGCCTGTGAGGACTCACCTCCGTAACATGATCATTGTTCCCGAGATGATAGGCAGCATCATTGGTGTGTACAACGGAAAGACCTTCAACCAGGTTGAAATCAAGCCTGAAATGATTGCCCACTACTTGGCAGAGTTTTCTATCTCATACAAACCTGTGAAGCACGGTAGACCTGGTATTGGTGCTACTCATTCTTCAAGGTTTATTCCCCTCAAGTGAAGACATCATTCTGTTACATCTTTGCAGTATTTAGAATTAAATCTCGCTAGGTTTTTTGTTCGACATTTCATCTGTCATGACTCGCTGAGTACTATGAATTTTGTGAGATTTTAAATGTGTTTTTATCATACTATTATTATGCCAATGAATTAAGTTTTGTTGAACTTCAATGGTTTGTCGTTGCTGCTGGTTGTGCACATTATGGAATTGGTTTCTGATTGAATAGAAGTTATCCCCAAAAGTTGAGTTAGTACTTAGTATGCTGCTATTATTCTTCATGGTTTTAGGGGTTACTCCGTACTTAATTTTTAGGCGTATCATTGTTTTGGGGCAGAGCTGCTCCCCGGAAATTAGTAGTCATTAACCAAGGGATTTGTTGCCTTATTCATGTACCAAAGAATAATTAATTCAGCACAGAATGCTTTTGCTGCATGTTTAGTGTTATGTCATTTCATAGGCAGGATGTTCTGTTATCTTAAAGGGCAGGCATTGGCGTTGTTTATTGTTTACTAGATTAGGTTACATGCCATGCACGGTAATTAATTTCATTATTGTTTATAATTCAATACAAAATTTTTTAAAAACAAAAATAAAATATTTTGTATAATGCATGTGACAAAATATATAACCACAACATTTTTTTTAATGTATATAATAAAATGAAAAATGAAATATAATGACGACAGAGTAATTATACAAAATTTTAAAATTTTAATGTATATAATGAAATGAAAATGAAATATAATGACGACAGAGTAGTTAGACAAAAAATTTTAAAATTTTAATGATAAATTAATATCGTTTTTTTCTTTTTATTAACTAAATAATTAAGTATTTTAAAAATTGTATATTAAACACTATGGGATTGTAACATAAATAGTTATTACAATAAGATTGATATTGTAAAAAAAAATTATGCTATTAGAAAGCCGTTTCCTAATAAGAAATTAAAACATTTTGAAATTTCGAAATAGAGAATATATGAATAACAAAAGAAGGTTTAGGGAATAATATTAATAGTAATAATCAAGTATGAATCAATTATTTCTAAAACGCATTTTTTATTTATTTATTTTTGTTACAAAAATATATTGAAGATTTGAAGGAATAAAATACGATTTAACCAGACAACTTATTTTGGTTTAATGACATATTAAGTGCTTGTTTGGTAGGAGGATATTTCCCTTGGAAATGGAAACTCCTAGGCAATAGCTAAACAATGTTGTGTTCGGTTGGAAATTTCCAAAGGGAATGTAAATTCCCACATAGCATAGGAAATAACTCACCAAACCCCCTCTAGGTGAGTGAATTCCTACAATGCATAGGAAGTTATTTTCTAGGAAATACTAATTCCCATGATGTCAACTAAACACTTTATTGCAATTAGCAAGGGAAAAAACTTCCCATGACATATGATTTCATGTGGGAATTTATTTTCCATGTTGAACCAAACAAGCACTAAGGATTCTGAGTATTGTCAATTAAAGAAGTAAATATAATATAGAGATTTTTCTTTATGGTTTGGTCTGTTTTGTTGTATGCTTGGTCGTTATTTTGCCCAAGTGGAAAAAGGTAAACCTACCTCGGTCTATTATCAATGAAATTTCCTATAGGCTGGATTGAAAATTAGGGATGTCTATTATTAAAAATTACCTATTACTTGGATTAAGCTTTATGAGAAGCTTTGTTGATATAATTATAAAGAAGGGAAAATTGTCTAGAACTATCCGTAAGATAGCCTCATTTATGAACAACTACCCATTTTTTTTATTTGTTTACAACTACCCGCAAGTTTGAAAAAGTTTTGGTAGCATTACCCATTAACGTTTTCCATCCAAAAAACCGATAGTGGCCCCACATTGCACACGTGTCAAATATTTATTGGATAAAAAAAAAAAACCAGAAAATCCAACCCAACCCCACCCTCCTTCCCTGACCACCCCATTCCCACTGCCCACCGGCTACCGGAACCCAGCAACCCCATTCCCCTCTCCACTGGAAAACCCACAACCCACAACACCAAACAATCACCATCACCACCAACCTAAACTCCAATCACCACCAATTTTTTGTGAAGAACCCAAAAAAAATTGAATTGGGGTTTTTTGGTTTGGTGAAGCAATTCACGAAATTGTTTGCTCTAATTGATTGTATGTTGAGTTGTAAACATTTTGGTACAAGTTTAATAAAATTTGGTGAAGAAATGATGTTCCTCAAGCTTTCATGCGTGAGCTTCAATGGCGTTTTTGTGCGTTTGGGAAGAGAGAAGGGGAGGGGGGCCGGCATCGGCGGAGAAATGGCGGCGAGAGAGGAGGGTGGGGTTTCAGGGTGGTGAGGCTGGTGGTTGGGGTTCGGGGACCATATTAGGGTTTTGGGGTGTTTTTCAGCGGCTGTTCGGTGGTTGGGGTGTTTCAAGGATGGGTTAGCTGGGTTTTTCGGTGGCTGGGTTGCTTTGAGGTCGGCTCTGGTGGGTTTTTCGGTGGATGGGGGTGCCGACGGTGGGGCTGGGTTAGGGTTTTGGGGCTGGCGGCGGCAGTTCATGGTTGCCGGTAGTTGTTTTTTTTATTTTTCATTTATTTATCCGATAAAAAAATAACACATGTACAATGTGGGGCCCACAATTTTCCCTATACAGAAAGGCGCTATGGAATTTGTACTTAAGGTAGTGAGTCCCATATCCAATTTTCCATCAATGCATTTGATCGTATGCGTGTATGAAAGTTTTTGTTAAATTTTATTTGATTAGTCGGGTTAATCTAATACTCTGTATAAAATTCTGTTACTTATAATGGAAGCACCAAAAGGGCTACAAAAATGGTCTTTATAATTTTCTCCAATTCTAAGTGTCAGAAAGATAAAAAAAATTGTGAGCCAAGGCTAACCATATCAATAGACGGTAGCTGAAGCAAATCACTTGAGAAGGTGATGACCACAAAGCTTAACTTTCTCCTCTAGAGGCCGAGGTGAACCTGAGCTAGTAAGTTTCACACCGAGAGCTCTAATTCACCACTCCAAGGCTCACTACCCCCAGCACCCATAGCTAAAGCTCACCATGTCAACGGCCGAAGCAATCATTTGAGAAACTGGTGTTTTCTTGTTGAGATTATTGCATGTTCAAGTACCTCGATTAAAAGAAAAAAAAAAAAGAAAGAAAAAAAGAGTACGTTTGTTAAGCCTTATGTAGTGTATAGCTTATGGGGCAATGTTATAAAACCCTAATCTCTTTTAGGTTGTATATATATATATATATACCTGTTCACTGATACAACTATGAAAAATTAAAATTTCTTCGGCATACTCCCTTTTGAATGTCAATAATTTGACTAATAACTAATCAGAAACTATTCAAGCAGAAAAACAGCGAGTTACAAAGAGGATTTAGAGAAATTATCCTGCATAGTATATATAAGTAAGATAAATTAGAGAGACCCCGTTAAAAAAAATAAAAGAGAGAAAAAAAAGGAAAAAATGTCGAAGCGATATCGCGAAGGTCCCGGTGGTTATTGTTTGCGTTCTGCTTCTGACAACTCCAAGCGTTTGCGTTCTAGGGTTGTGCCATCCAGGTAATCTAACTTTTATGTTTTTCTTTTTTAATTTTATAAGATTATTGAGTTAAAATTGCACAAAATAAATAGCAAAAATTGATTTCTTGTGCTGATTAGTTGATTCGAATTTAGGATTAACTTGTATAAATTCCAATAATAATTTATTTTAGGGGAATTTTGAACCCCAAATTTGAAGGGATGTGGTTTCTTTAGTCGTAAGAGACTAAGAACTATTCTAATTTAATTCTATTGCATTGTCAAGTTAATTTGCAATTCATATTTCGCTCTGGTTTTCAATGTTTTTTTTTTTTTTTTTTTTTTTTTCAATTGTAACAATTGCACACTCACACTCATATGCATGATTAATCTACATAAAATCTAATTTTAATCATGTTTGCCTAGTCTTAAATTTAACATTGTTACCTTGTCGAATCGTGTCCGATGCAATAGTAAACACTTTCAATGAGAATGGCTATGTGGCTATTTATATCAACACTCGATTACATGAAAACATACATAAGTTTTTTTAATGGTGTTTTGAGTATGAGAGTATCTTTAGGTCCTAGTTTGATGATGGTTTTTTTCTTTTTCATGGGAGGCTTAAGATTCGATGAGGTTATTGTCTATGGACACAAACATTCACTACATCTTGAACTGAAGTCAGTGTTTTTCTGAATGTCTTGTAGTTTGAATTCTGACAAAAGAAGGTCTAAATCTCGCAATGTTGCCAAACCCCTTGAAGATGCTCATGCTGAAGAAAGGCCGTATGCAAAGATAGCCTTGAAGTTCTATAATGAACACGCGGTTAGTTTTCTTGTTATGGTTTTTGCTTTTCCTTTGCCCATTTTTGATGACTTCGCTTAATCTTTCCTTTGTTTGTTGTCTTGGCCTGAAATTCTCAGCAAGCAAATTATAAGCTTATGGAGCCTGGTGACAGGAGAACTGTTGCTGTTGTAAGAGGCTTGATCCACCATATCAACTTCACTGCTAAGAAGAAAGATGTTGCTGATGCTCCGGTGGAGATGTTTTTTGCTGAACTGACCACAACCGGCCCTGGGATTCGCCGTGCTACCACTTGCCAATGCTTGGGTCCGGAAAAGGATCTCTCAGGTCTGTACCTTGTAATGAAAGTTTGTTTAATGTGTTTCCATTTGTCCAGTACCACTGCCATATATGTTTATGTTTGCTGATGGACTTTCAAACCTCTTATGTTTGGTAATTTCGATGAACTTGTCTTGCAGAGGGTAAAGCCAAAATCAATAGCTGCTGCTATTTTTGTATGGATTACAATATTTATCATCCTAGATGTGGAGGATTCAAGACTGGCCTGGAGAACAATGGTGATATATATTTCTAAGGAGCGTGAACGACTCAATGATTTCTTGGCTATGTTGTCCAGGAACTACTTTTAATGACCATAATACTGTGGGTATCTATGATTTAATTGAAGTTATGTTTCAACTTTGAAGCATGCCTGGTTTTCTAGTTTGGCTAGTTGCCTTCAAAAGATTATCTTGGCTCTGTGCTAGGACATAGTAGTAGACTCTAGAGTATTTGCGGTAGTATCAGTTGTATCTCTCAGACTAATTTTACTTCTTACATCAAATAATGTATTTTACAATGCATTATTTGACCAAACATCTCTATAATGATCATTGCATTTTCAAGTACCTCGATCAAAAAATTCTTTGGTCAGATCGATAAAAGTGTGACATACTCCCATTTGATACCAATAATGTGACTAATAATCAAAAACTGTTTAAGCACCAAAAAATAGTGTGAGTTATTAAGTAGATTATCTGTAGTGGCTTTAGTTAGTTTGAAAAGATATGGAAGACGGGAGATGGTTGTTGATGGGAATACTACGATTTATGGGTTGGCTCAATGTGCAAGGGATCTTTCGAGCTATGACTGTAAAATGTGCCTTGACTATCAAATTAGTAGCAGTTTACCTCATTGTTGCGAGGCAAAGAGAGGTGGAAGAGTTCTTGGAGGGAGTTGTAATGTAAGGTATGAGGTGTACCCTTTTCTAAAGCTTTGATTTGTAAGGCTTTAACTGAGGTTTTCATGCAAATTGGTTATAAACCCACTACAATCAGTTTTAAAAGTAAGAATGTAAGATTGTAACTTTCCAAAACAAAACAATAGTTAATACTTGGAGGATACTCAATATTTTAAGTTGTGATTGTTGTGGGTTTTATGTTTGAGACAGATTTTTATGATTTTTCGTGATCAAGCTTAGTGTTGTGTGTAAAGGTAGAAAAATCATGTTAAATACTCCGTTTGTGTTAAAATAAATGAAACGTTTTGACTTTGTGCACTATTCATTTTATTCACTTTCACTAATGTTTGTTATTTGTATACGAACTATAATAATAAGGGAAGTTCTACATGGTTACCTCAAGGATTCAATTATTGTATTTAAAAGACAATTTTTTTTTATTCCAACTCTCTTAAGTGACACTCTAGTTTAACATATTTAAGTATGTGATATATATACACACACACACACACACTTTATGGCTAACTTTATTAATTAATGGTTAATCTTAGTGATATTAAATTGGAGAAAGTAATAAAATATGGAGGTAGTGGGGTAGGTGAAAGAATAAAAAATTGTATAAAAACAAAAGTAGTTGAGAGAATTGGAGGAGAGAGAATATGTAATTAATAAAATATGGTTTATGTTGCGTCTACTAGTTGAGAGAAATGAATTAAATATTGTAAAAACTTTCCAAATAAGGAAATGGAGCAAGTATTTAAATCATGAAGAATAGCGCTATAGAATTTGTATCAAGTTCCTTTTTCAGTTTTTCACCAATGCATTTGATCTATGACTACAAGTTTCAAACTGCATTTATTTTTATGTTAATATAAAATTTTGTTACCAAGTAGTTGAGGGTTACATGACACAGTTTATGTTGAATAGGTCTTGTAGAAATTAATTTTACTTTTCTTGATTACATCAAATAATGTATTTTACAATGCATTATTGGACCAAATTAAACATCTCTTCTGCTATTAAGAAACAATCCATTATAATATCTGCTTCTTTGGTATATATACATCAAACTGTTATCAATCTTTTCAAGCTCGAAACAAAATCATTGATACGATCGATTGTAATCAATCTACCAATATGCCTTCTTCCATTTCAGATTAGTGCTTGTATTTCTTCTCTTTAAACCTTCACTTTTTTACTCCAAACATCATTAGCAGTTGTAGCTAATCCTCTTAGCTATTCTTGTATTAATTCACAAATCTTTACTGCGGGAACTTCCTATGAACTTAACCTTAACAAACTCGCTGGCCTTATCGACAACTTAACCATTTTTTTTTATTTTTAAATTTGTTTTTTTTTTAAATTGAAATTCTTTAAGAACGAAAAATAAATAATAGTATTAATAATAATAGATAGATATTTTTTATCTTTGTGATCAAGCTTAGAGTTGTGTGTAAACGTAGAAAAATTACGTTAAATATGTTTGAGTAGCTAGATCTTTCATTAAGTGATTTGACGATTTATACATGTTTTTGTATGAAAATAAATGCTTGAATATGATTTGAATGTGTTGAATGATGATTTGGAATTTTTGAATACGTTTTATGATTTAAAGATTTGATTTTTAATGGTTATTATTGTTTTAAAAAGAGTTGTTTATACTTTACTTGTTTTCCAATTTATCTATGAAAGGAACGAAGTGGTTTTTCAAACAGAAAGTTGTTTATAATGTTTCTATTAGTGGAAAAGTAATTTTACAGAAAACATGTTTATTATTGGAAATTATAGATCCCACCATGCAGATTGGTTGATAAGTATATATGAATTATATATTATATCTATTAATAAGTATAAATTATAATAAATGAATATTAATGAATTATTCAGTGTGACAATTCCAATAAGTAGTACACACAAAACTGAACAGGTTATTTTTGATTCGAGGTATTTGGGTAAAGTAATTCGGGCTTAAATCAATTTGGTCTTTTAGGATATCAACAAACACAGGTATTTTGGTTTGGGTTATTTCATGCAAAATGGGGCAATTATGTTAATTTTTTTGCCAATTTCGAGCTTAACTTGTTTCCAAATTAAAAAGGTTCAAAATGACCCCCAAAACCTTACCTGAACAATTTTCACGATTATAAATAACGACACGTAGATTGAGAAATTTCTCAACATGCAAAACGAGGCATTCATGTTATTATTTTTGCCAATTTTGAGCTTATTGAATCCATAAAGGGTCAAAATGACCCCCAAAAATCTTGTCCGAGCAATTCCAAAAGCCACTATAGCATTATCCGTTATCAATCTCCCCGGAACAAAAGCACTTTGATGATCAAAAATGATATTCGGGAGAATTCTTTTGAGCCAGTTAGCTAACATTTTCGAGATCAGTTTATAGATGACATTGCAAAGGCTAATAGGCCGAAACTCACTCATCTTTCGGGGCTCTTGACATTTAAGAATAAGAACTATACATGTCTTATTTATATCAGAAATATCAATATTATCATGCCACCACTTCAAAATATACGACACATGCAACATATATTCCAGCATTTCTTATAAAAGAGGGCATGCATACCATCGATACCCGGCGCCTTGTTAGGGTGCATTTGAGATAAGGCCGAAAAAATTTCCTCCTTCATCGGATCGCACACAAGAGCCTGATTCATCTCCTCCGTCACAAAAGGTTCCATACCTGCAAGGGCCTCCTCAAAATTTGAGGCAAAGAGCTAGTAAAAATATTAGAGAAATAATTAGAAATAATGTTTCCAATATCATCCTCATCGTCATGCACAAACACCCTGCTCGTCCTCCAATTTTACAATTCTATTCCGACTCCTTCTCAAACTCGCTTTGTGATGGAAATAAGAGGTATTCTTATCCCCATCCTTAAGCTCCTTAACTCTAGCTCTGGCATGCCAATATGACTCGTCAAATCTATGAAGCTCATCCTTTCACAATGTCTTCGCATTTGCTCAACATGGTTGCATCCGGGGCCCTTTCTTGCCATTTTTTCAATTCACTTTCATTCAAGCTAGCTGATCCTCTTCTTTATATCACCAAATTCACAATCTGCCCGCTTACACAATTGAGAGGCACAAAAAGCAATGCATGACCCCACACCCATATTAGAGCTACTCATCCACGCCTCTTTTACCTTCGCTTGGCATTCGGGTTTCGCTAGCCACATAGCCTCGAAATAAAACCGCTTCCCACGCCTTTTTTTTCCTTGTATTAACTACCTCACCAGCTTCGAACAAGATGGGACCGTGGTCAGATAAGTAAATAGGCATATTCTGAACAGAATTTCGAGGGAACAACAATGTCCATGCATCACAAATTAACACCCTATCGAGCCTCTCCATAATAACCGTACTTGGGTCCAACCCCCTATGCCAACATCTTCCAGAGAGCAATCTTCTAAAGCATTCCTAAATAAATCCATCTCTCTATCACTCCTCAAAGCCCCCCCCCACCCCCACTTCTCCTCATTAGATAAAATCTCATTGAAATCACCAAAGAAAGCCACAGGAACAAAATAGCCCCCTTCAAAGACCTCATAAGATCAAAAGTCATATATTTTCTTTCCCTCTTCGGCTACCCATACACACCCACAACCGCCCAGATTGGATTATTATGAGCATTACGAATTTCTACAGCAATATGGTGCACCGAAAAAGAAACAACATGAGCATTAACATCGCTCCACCAAAGACAAAGACCACCCGAATGACACAACCCCTCATTGAAACCACATCTATTACGAATACCTTCTAATCTACGAGCGTCAATCATAGTTTCCATCACGAAGATGAACGTCGGGCGCTCTCTCCAACACCATGATCGGAGAGCACAAACTTTCCGAGGGTCGCGCAACTCGGCAGTTCCAACTCAAAGTTTTCATTGCTTTTCACGGGATTAGTTCAAAATTTTCAAATTTTAAATTTTAAATTTTAATACCTAATTTTAGAGTAATAACAAAAATTATTTCATCTCTTTCATTTACTCAAACCTACAACCTATAGCCAAATAACATGAAGTATGACCTAAAAATGTATTGCACCTTTAATGCTAATTTTTTTTTTTTCCCACAAACATAGTCTAATTAGATTAAGTTTCATTACTCATGAGACATTGTTATATTCATAAAATGTTAAGTCATCATCAGAGGACAAAGGACTATCAGGGCTTCCACCACTGCCATCCGTGAATCCTCCAGCTTTAGGATGCTGAACGTTCCGATATCTGCAATAATGGCAGCCATTGTTTTTATCTCCTGCAAGAATAATTGTTCGAGTTGTCAAAACCAGTAGTCATAATTGTGAGCCCCGAAGAACATACAAATAAGATCAATAAGCATGTAACAGAAATGGAAATAACACAACCACACGGCTAAGAAAAGCAAAAAACATTCAGATTGTTAACTGACCGCTTCTTTGTTATAGAAGCTCAAGACTTCAGTTACATATGGCCTTGAATTTCTTTATCTGAGCAAGCGCGTTCCTTTTTGGGCTTAAAGATCTTTGAAACCATTTCTTGCCTGCTGCAACTGGTCAAGATTTAAACAAAGAACAGTCAAATTACTGTATTTTTCATAGTCAAGATTTTAAAGTTGAAGATTCTTAATATGCTTATAAATCAT